TTTATGCCCCAGACGTGATATCTCATAATCTGACGATTATCTCAAGGGATTTACTTAAACGGACACAAAAAATTTTTTTTTTTAATTTTGTTCAATTCATTGAGCTTAATTAAATAGAAAAGCACCGGAGTTAGCATGCAAATAAAAAAGTGTATGTTTTTTAATGTAAAATACTTATATTTATAAGAAAATGAAAATTTAATTTTTACAGTATTTTTTATTAATTATCATCTTCATCGCTAGAATCATCTTCCTCTTCTTCTCTTAATAAATATGTAAAAAGTTTAATTCACAAAATTTACATTAAAATAACAAAATAAGCAAAAACGTTGGAAATACGATGTAAACAATATCACGCCACGAACGATTCTGTGTCATCAGCTGTCATGGCGTCATGGCAACCGAAACCAGAGTGGGGATGGAATGAGAGAATAATAGACAGAAAAAGAGAGAGAAATAGTGATGCGGAGAAGGAAATATAGGTATCACGTAGCTTAAACGCATTAAATCTTATCGATGAATTTTTATTATTTCGGCTTGTGACAATCGTCAGATTAAATATTTTTCGTAATCCTTGAATGATGCCCTTCAAAATAAAAAAAAATTAGCCACGCTCGAGAATGTCAAAGTGACGTTTTTTTTTACAACTTTGTAGCCTTCCCCCTTCTTTACGTCACTCTCAAATTGTCAGATTAGAGGTATGTACACCTTTTAGCATACCCCTAGCTCACCTTACCTTAATCTGACGCGCTCGAGATTTTCAGATGATCAATTTTTTTTACTAATCTGATTCTTCGTCCTTGCCGGGCGGCCATTTTTATAGGTCTCATACTTGGTCCAGGTACTTAACTGGGTACAAGGTATTCCCCTGTATATTAATCTGCCGCGCTTTAGTAAATCCCGAAATCCCCGCTTCGGCTCCCCTACTATAAAACAATGATATCTTGAATATGAAGGACAGCGTTTTCGCGGGTATAAAAAGTTTAAATTAGTCATCGCGCTGTCTTGGTATTATTAATCCTAACGTATTATTAAATCACATATCCATAGCCAGTTGCTATATATTTTTAGGATCCCGTACCTTGAAAAAAAAAAACGGAACCCTTACAGGATCATTTTTTTGATCCCTAATTCTGTTAATTTCGATCACAGAATAAGAAGGAAATAAAAAAAATAACTTATGCCCATACATTCAACGTGTTAACATACAACATGATTTTGTTGTTCCAGGCGCTGTTAATATCAGACAGTAGTGAAGTCCAAATACATAGTCTACACAGCGACCGGCGCGACCAGCAGCAGCTGCGTCTCTTCCAGAAATATGCCGCACTTTTATAAGATTATTCTTTAAGATGATGAAATTAAACCTTCGTAATACATTGTCGTTTTGAATAAATTTATTCTAAACCCATATCGCTGATATAGCAAAGGAGAATGGGCAGAAATCGGCTAAAAGTAACGCAAAAATGCGCACTACGCATTTATTTATAAAAATCTTCTCTTTAATTATAAATTATTTTATATAAATGCGATTTTAAAATTATGCGGCATTTAAAATTAACTCTTTTAAAACAATTGCTAAATATCTAGGTACTACAATATAACTACGACTACCTATTGAGTTTTAAGTTATTATTAATCGACTTGACATGCGAACTTCCTACCACTACTTTTACAATATAAAGTCTTTAACTCTGATAATGTAGGAAAATCGGCCCAGTAGTTTTTGAGTTTATCCTTTACAATAAAAAAATCAAAGCTTTCCTTTTTATAATATAGGATTGTACTTTTTCGCAGTTAAAAATGTATATCTGTTAGTCATCAATTATTTGAAATACATAATTCATTTTATTATTCCTATATACATAGATGTTATAACGACATAACCTCAAAATTCTTGTTAAATATTCATATATTCTCCAACTCCGGCATAAATTTAAAATGATTTTTTTCCTACTTATTCTAGAGATACTTATCTATCATTTTCCGTTAGTTTCAACAAGGTGCACAGTTACGCAAAAATAGCCGAACTCTCATAGTAAATTGCCCATTCTCTTTTCACTCCATCCAAACCTGTTCAAAATGTTTTTAGCAAAAATAACCTTTTTTTTTTGTCCTGGTTTTACCCCATTTAAGGAACCTCTGTTGCAGAAATAAAAGTAAAAATAGTAACATATCTCAATTTTTTTATAAAATTATTTCTCTGAATAGGAATATCTGAATAGAAGCGTCTAAAATTAACGCTATCGTTCATTGAATATCTTTCAAATAAACGCGATGGCAATCGCTGTCATGTAATTCGCAATCGCAAAATAAGGATGATGGCTCATTTTTGTCTGTTCGTTGGGTAGATAAAGAATATTAAACGCTTTTATTCAAGTTTTTGCGTAATCGATAAATTAGCGATACATCGAGTTGAAATTTCGCATGACGTCACAACTTTGTAGATTTTCTACATTGTTGTGACGAAGCGCGCCCTCACTCCATGCTTTGTTAAATGAACAAGGTCTTGTTAAATTAAAGAGAAAAAATAAGTAATATTTTTCTATTATCTGAGTAAGGGACTAGAATCTGTTTTTTTACTCAGGCATCTTCCCTATTGTAGTGTTAAGTTTGTGAATATCTCTCAAACATCAAATTGAAAGGGATTGCGTTAGATTCTAAAATTAGACATTTAGCCTCAGCCCTGCGATTCTGTAAAAAAAATCCAAACCCGAATTCAAATTCACTCAGATGTCCGAATCCACTTCAAAAAGCGGCATCCGCTCAATCTTCAATTGTTAATAAGTTATTTATTACCAATTGAAGAATTTTACTAACTAGCTTATGCCCGCGACTTCGTCCGCATGGTAAAGTTACTCTGTGCAGCATTTCTAACGAATATTTATTCAATAAATCGTGTCAAAAACCTGAAATAAATTTTCATCCCCTATTTTATCCCCTTAGGCGTGGAATTTATCAAAACTTTTCTTGGGGGATGCCTACGTTATAGTAGCTTTATGCATGCAAACTCTCAGCCCTATCGGTTTAAAATTTACAAAGTTCCATACAAACTTTCATCTCCTATTTTATCCCCTTGGGGGTAGAATTGATTGAAATCCTTTCTTAGCGGATGCCTACGTCATAACATCTACCTGTATGCCAAATTTCAGCCCGATCCGTCCAGTGGTTTGAGCTGTGCGTTGATAGATCACTATGTCAGTCAGTCACCTTTCAGTTACCTATATATATTTATTCTCCATTCATTATAGCATAAGACAGAAGTTAAATAAGGTTCTTTTTATGGTATACTTTGTGACAAAATATCAATAATCATGTTACTCTTAAGACTGACGGCTAATTTGCTACATATTCACTTATATTCCAGCTGCTACACTTAACCGTTGTCGTTTAAGCTATCTATTAAACAAATTTATGAGTATTTGACTAACTTAAATGATTTAATAACTATTACAAGAAAAAGTGTTCATCTTAAAGAACCTACAGAAGCAGGGTTGCATAGTTTCGGCACGATTATCATGTCACTATAACTCGTCCAAATTTTAAACGTTACCTAAACCATTCAAACGATTCGGCAGGACAGCTTTTTAATTTTGTCAGATTATGATGTATTCATAATTGTCAAAATACGTAGTCTGGGATTATTATTATTGTGAATGTTAGTACCTTTTTGTTGTTTTGCCGTTTTCTGTGATTTTGTTATTGTTTTATTGTTCTTTTCTTATATTTTTGTTTTAGTTGTTAAGTTTTGTTAAATATGGACGATGCTGGTGCAGTGCCCGAGTGGCCTACAACAATTACCTTTGATATTTCAGGAAGTTTTTCCAATTTCTTCATCAATAGTCAAATAATATCTGAATAAATGTTATAAAAGTCATAATCAAAATTTCATTTTATTTACCTTTTTTTTCCTGGGCATAGATATAACTAAATTCTATTCTAATATATACATTTACAACTAGAATTTATCAAAACAACAGATAGATAGTTTTAGCTCCATGTTGGTTTGGGAGAAAAAGATGAATTTAGAAAATGCTGGCCTGATCTCAACCCCGAGGTATCGTAAAAAATGGAAAATTTATCAGCTCTTTCACACTACCTAACTTTCAAAGTTTCAACAACACTATTATACACACTATATAACACTATATATTTTTAACATTTATCTTGAAAATAAAATGTTCTGCACTGCTGCTTCTGTGATCCTGTTTTTTCTAATGTTATAATTATAATGAATGGAGTATAGATAACGTTTCGTGGCATAAGTGAAGTGAGTTTCGAAATGACATAGGAATAGAATATCTGAGACACGTATGTTCAATCAATTTTATATTGTATTTTCATATAAAAAAATGGAATCAATTGCATATAAGTGAATTCGATTCGGGTTAGGATTTTTACAGAATCTCGGAGCTGTATCCTGCGTGGGCGGGGGAGTTCGTATACAATCGTGAAAAAAAAAATTCCCCTTGTTTATATTCAATATTATGTAATAAAATAACATAGAATATTACGGTTTTTTCTTGATTCGATTAGGTACTCTTATATTTATACAGCACTAACCATTTATATCAAGTCGCGCCGCTAGATATTTACAATTCGTACAAACAACTCGCGATACACGAACATACATTTTCGGCATGCGACCGGTTTGAATTTAACTAATTGCATATTTAAGTACAGTCAACAACACATCAGTTTATAAAAAAATAACAAATTTCTCCACTGCTCAATATTAAGGACAAAGGACAGTTCAATATTAACAACAATTCACGTAATGTAATAATGGCTTGTTTACACATATTCAATAGTCAATTAAATTTTAAGTGATTATGTACATTTACGAATCACTGGAAATTAAATTAACTACTTATCAACTTAATAATAAGGAAGTATTTAAAAAAATAAAGAAACTACAAAATTTTATGTCACTAGATGGCAGCACAAAATGTCAATTCATATACAAATATTCATTACAGCTTTAAAACCGTCATTAAACCTTAATGGACGTTAATGCAACTGACCATATATCCCTTATTATGAACTAACAGAATTCTGTGCAATCATGACTCCAATTGTTTTCAGCTAAAGTTACCATACGAAAAACATGATTGCATTTAGTACATGTCCAATTTGCTTTACATTGATGATATGATGCAAAATGTTCCCTCAAAGTTACAAAGAAATCATTTTGTATTATAACTTTGCAAACTGTGCACTCAATGGACAAACAATTACCCTGCATCTGCTGCACAACTTTATCTATTCTAGATACTGTACAAGTGAATGTCGGCACCATAGCCTCTTCCAGCTGCAAGTCATACAAATTACCTTTGCTTGCTTTATCCGTCTCAACTTCTGAAAACAAGTACCTTACGTATGGATACTTATTTAATGTTCTACGGAAGGAAGTCGGCACAGTGACATCTGGAGTACTAAGAAAATCTCTATTTATCATTTCAGAGATTGTGCCAGCCACTGTATGCTCTTCAAAGCACAATTGGAAAATTTGAGCAGAGAATATGTTATGGATATCCTTCAATGTGTATTGTGATATTTGTTTCAGATCTTTCATCTGTAAACTAGTGTCCAATGCAGTAGGTTCATCCCTGGGAATGTTCAGTTTCTTATTCACTAATTTGTGTGTAAGATTGTGAACTATTTCACGACGAAAGGAGAGAGATTGTGAGTTGACATTTAATTGGATACCAGGCCAGTTTAGCATAGCAAGTAGAGATATGGATTGCAAACTAATCTTATTTGGAGTAGTATTTAAATTAAAAATTGTATTGTTGAGCGATGGATGTGGCCTCCGGAAGAACAATTGATTCAACTGTTGCCGAGTGCAATGTATTTCAAGAACAACATCACTTTCAGTTTTTTCTGGGGCTTTCACTTTGGGAGCAGCTTCTTTTGCTTCTTTGATGACATCCTTCATGTAAGGTTTGGCGCACTCTAGCATTTTGTTGAGATATGATTTCAGGTTTTTGTGGTTTTCCTCCAATTTCTTTTTTATAGCTTCTGTGTCATTCATGCGCTTTAAAATTTGTATTGTCTCGTCAAACTCATCCCACAGAGGCCAATCTTTTAGAAACTTTTTCATTAAATTCAGATATATTTCTATTTCAAGGTTGTGGATGTAAGATATGTCCATATCAAATTCCTTTTTTAGTATATCTACAATTTGGGCATTTGTTAGAACTGTATTCTCTTTAGTGTCATTACTAATTAACCTCTTGAAGAGTGTCAATAAAGGTTTATCTAAAAGAAAAATAATATGATTATAATAATATATTCAATCAAAATTATTTCAATAAATATGTATACACTTTCAATAATGCTCAGATTAGAATTAAAAAAAAGTTAAAATAAAATCAAAAATGAATAGCTATGGACCAGGCACTGTTCCAAAGTCCACGCAGAGTAGTTTTTATTACTTGTAGAAATATTGTTTCAAACATAATGATTTAAAATTTCAATAAATAGTATAATACATACGTTAAATAAAAAACTAACCATTAGCTGCTTGTACAAAAGCTTCGACTGAATCGGAGTCTATGCACGTTACATCTTTAGATGAATCGCCCATTTTCTTAGTATCAAAGTATTTATTATTGTTACTTATGTTGTGTTATTTCAGACCAAGACTATTATTAATAAAATTAAACTTTTAAACGAAAGTGCACTTTTTAAAATAAGTAGAAAACCACAGACTTAGTAGGTATCAGACGACCAACTTCCTAACAAAAAATTTCTTCGTAGAACGTGATTGGGAGCCAGTGATACATGACAGCTTCATTCGTTTTAAATATATAGATCTACTATCGGCAAAGGCATTTAGCTATACAGCCCTGTTTTGGGTAGGTACCTAACCGTCTTCCTAGTTTCCACATTATTTTTACTTTAATTGAAATTCCTTTTTTGTTTTAATACAACAATAACAATAAAGCAGACTGATAAGTCTAGCTTATTATTATTGTTGTATTAAAACAAAAAAGGAAAAACGAACACGTAAATGAAACACAAATTTTTCCAATATTATTTATTGAATCATTTATTTTTTAACTTATTATATTTTTCCCGGCTTTCTTCTGCATTCTCGGCAATTCTTAGCTACGTTTTTTTAGTGGCACAACCTTATGAAACTTTTCAAGGTAATCACATTTATTTTAAAGAGGGCACTGAGTGACCTTTTTATACACATATTTAAGTTTTTCTAAAATTTCAATTGCCTTTGGCCAGAAAGAATGATGCTCTTTTCCTTTATGCTTTTTTTGTTTATCAATGCTCCATTGACACTATCAAATATTTGGTCAAAGAATGAAACAACTTCAGCTTTATTTCTTAATGTTGTGCTGACGGGCCTGCCATCCACATAAGTTGCTGCAAATTAAAATATTCATACAATAATTGTATGAAACTTGATTCAAAACTATTAACCGTTAGTAAATTTCATCTAATACTTACAGAAATTTGCAGTGTAAGACAAAGCTGCAGACATATTTTTATGCAATTTTTTACCTGCAAAAAGAGATATCATATTTAAAATTATCTTCATTAGAGAATCATTATTGTAATTTAAGTGTAAACTATATTAACTACTTGTTACATAATTAAAAATACAGGTCATTGAATCAACACTTGCTCTGATAGAGAATATAGAAGCTGAATACAAATTATTTCTTTTATTTATACTAATTTAAGTTATACTAATATAATAACCAATGCATTACCTTCATCATTTTAATTTTATCAGGTATAACTCATTGGACATTTAATTTATGACGTAGCCCAGCTTCAGTGTGTTGACAGTCTGTCTTATAGACATAAATAATATCATGCCATTTTGCAAGTTTACTATCCAATATTAAATTTTTTGTTAAAAAATTGTTCCTGATGCATTTTATCAAGTGTGTAGAATCATAATGTTCAAATCCACCCCACATATTTTAAGAATACCAACTGAAACAATAATTTAAGAACTTCTTATAACATAGATAACAATATAAAAATAAGAACCTTCACTACTTTCATTAAATCTATTAGTTTTCTTTCATATAAATATAATTCTCTGTACCAAGCTGTGATTTCAATTTAAAATTTGATCACACTAAGTGTCTTCTTTTAGATTTTTGAGTGCTGATTGGAAAGCTGAGCCTTGGTCATATATTATTGCGATGGGATTAAGGTCCAATTCAACAACTTTTTCTACTACTAACTTTAAAATATTCTTGATGTACAGTAGATGTCGCTCCTTGACAGAAATACTAACATAAAGGCTGTTGTCACTTGTAAACAGCACCAACATAAATACAAGAGTATGATCTGCAAAATCCACTTTCTTTTCTTGGTGTTCTACAAATCCATTAATGTTATCTTTAATCCTTATTACTTTTATTATACGAAAGTGCTGTTTCTAATGACATCTCATCAAATATAATGGAGCATATTTTTAGGAGTTTCATTTGTCCACCTGAAAAAATAAATTCAAATAGGTAGGTACATATTATTATTTGGTAGTAATACAAAAAATTATAAAAGTAGTATGAAAAACCTTATATGGAATATATTTACCTCTTACATGAAGCCTGGTTCTATGATCGATTTTCTAATCATAGTATTCAGTGTAGTTTTGGATGATAAAATAAAAAATTTTGCTTAAAAATCAATAACACTTTGGACTCTGCTTTGATATTGATAAAGCAATTATCTTTTCTTCGGTAGTGAATCACCTCTCATGTTTATTTTTAGAGAGCACATGCTCACTTGCATTTCAAAATCATTTTTTTGCAACTGTATTCATTTTTTGTCAGAACTTTTCAAATGATAACTTTTTACAAAACTTAAAGGTATTTAAGTATTCTTAACTTTATTATGAAAGTTCAACTACGTCTTTGGCTTATTATATTCTTCATAAATTCTCTGGTATAAAGGTGACAATTGGCTTTATTTGGTAATAAACCTTTTCCTTTTTGTTTGGGTACATTTCACAGGGTCTGTAACATCAAAAGTATTCAGTGAATTTCTCTATTAGAACTACTATTTGATTGAAATAAAGATACACTAAAGAAAGAGACAGGTCTTACCAGATAATTTAGTTTGTGTCATATTTTAATCTCCAGAGCAAGAAACTAATTGAGTAAACTCAGTGGCTGCAGACACGGGAGTCTCACTTTTGTTCTTTTAAAATTACACCACCTATGAAATCAATATTGATTAAGTGTTTAAGATTACAAAACAGGATATAATCTTAGATGATATTAGAAATATGTTATTTATATTATCAATTTATTCTCTGATCAAAATCACTTATAGCATGCCCGCTAGAATTAAGTAACTTAATGTCATTTTTCTTTATGTGTGTACGAAAGAGAGATCTACTAGACATTTTTAAAGCAAAAATCTATATTAAAATACACCAAAACTGCAGCATGAACTTTGTTATCTAAGTAAAATAAATTAAAAACAAACCTCTGTTCAGTTCCACTTTCTAATATGTGTGGTCAACATGACTTTTTCTTGCATAGCTGTGTTCCCAAGTGAATATAATTTCTGTAATAAAAAAAAATCTAATGAAGAATAGTGGTATTCCAAAACACAACATAAAGTGAAGATACATATCATTTTAATTACATTATCTAAAGGTAATAGCAGATTAAACCAGCCTTACCAGTATTGCTTGAAGAGGGTAGGCTGATTGAGAGCCCATCATCAATAAACAATGACGGATATGCATCACCCAAGAGTCATGATTTTGGAGTGATGAATCTTGGTATAACGTGTTTGCTACAAATGACACTTCTGCCTGGATTAAAATTTTCAGTACCACACACAGCACTAAGACATTGTAACCACTTGGAGAATCTTTTCTCGTTCACTAGAATCTTATAAGGAATAGCGTCCTGTTCGTACTTTAACAATACGTGTAACACAACCATAACATTACACACCAATTTCTTAGGCATCTTCTACAAATAAAAATACTTCGAAAAATGGAGAGTTTATGTTATAAATAAAGCGAAGACGGTAAGCACAAAAGAAACTTTACTCAATCACTTGTAATTCCCTGATATGTAGGTACATACTTTAGTCTTCTTCTTCTTTTATTAATGGCATATCTGCGCATTTCACACAATTTTGCAATGTGAAATGAATAAATTAATTCCAACATGTAAAATGAATTAATGATTGAATAAAACATTACTATCTTTACTCTTAGTTGTAATGACAGTTTCTGTCAGGTGTCATGTCTCCATCTACTGACAGGGGTGAGGGGCGTGAGGAAATGTCATACATCACTGGACCCTACGCGATTGGTTTATTGTACGGAGTTGACGGGCCGTGGTAGAAAACGTCTAGTAAACAAATTATGGTTCTGACAGCTGTCAATGTCAATATAGTTTGGTGTTGGCGATACAAATCTCATATAGATATTGAACGCATATTGTATCAATATCATAATATCCGGTATCGATGTACACAGAAACTATATATTTTTTGAACACTATATTTCTGCGTCGATACAAAACGTCGGATCCGGTATCTAGCTCGACATCCGATATTTATAGATATGGGATATCAAACAGTATAGTATCGTAATAGAATTGAACCGATGCAAGCGTTTGGATTTGGGAATGTTTGAAATAGCAATTTTCATAAATATTCTTCAGATTGAAAACCTTAGAGTATTAGAATTAAAGTTGTTTCCATACTTTTCTGTGTATTTTGGCACTTTTTTTTTAATAGACTTTGTTTTGTGAAGAATACGAAGCATATGAAATAAGCTTGTGAATAAGCAAGTTAATGGCATGCCAGTTTATTTTCCTATGCTAAATTAGTAACTGTGAAGCTGATTTATTTGCTACGTGTTTGAGATTGTGTTCACGATGGCTTGAAGCTACCGAATACAGATTAATTCACACATACATAGTTTCAAAAATATTTAGTTTCAGAATCCGATATTGAATATCAATATATAGTTTCGAATCAAAATTGTAAAAATCTGATTTCAAACACCGCTAAGTACCTTAATTATGATGTCAAAAGGGTATTTGACACTTTTCTGAAAACTATTTTAAATGGTTGTTTATTAAAAAGAAAAAGATACATTTTAAACACACTCATTATATTTCACAGGAATCTATTTGCAATGAAAATAATGATTAAAGTTTAAATAGCCAAAATCGCGCTAAAAAGCTGTTCTCTGATCACGTGGTATTTGTGACGTCACACGTCGGTAAATATGTCAAGGTGACATAATCTATTCATCAACTACGTATTTACAAAGTAAATAAATTATATTACAGTAGAGAAATTGAAGTTAAACATTGTTTTTATTTGTATCTACTCTGGTTTTGTTTATAAAAATAAGCTACAAATTATATGTAAAAATACAAATTTTGTGTATCTTTATTAACACTGTTTTGACAGCTTCCTATTTACGTGTACGTCACATGCCGGTAAACAGAATCTGTTATTGGTTGCGAAGACAACCAAATACAGAGTGTTTTCGTCGTTCATTAAAATGTTGCATTTTCTTTACGTTATTTTACTAAAGATAAACATGTTTTGTTTTGTCTGCAGATTCTAAGAAATAAACTTAATAAGTTTA